AGTATATAATACGGGATCTAGCTACCTATGCGGGCTAGTATTAAGAGGTCTTATATATATTAAAATAAGTATAGCTCGCCCTCTAGATAGGTAGTAAAAGGTCGGGAGCTATTAATAAAAAGAAAATAACGGTCGAGTTAGTTAATTATTTTAATTAGTAATTAGGTATAGAGCGTAATATACCTAGTTTTCTTTAATACGTAATATATAGTACGGCCCCGGCGGATTGCTCTGTTAGGGAGATAAAATATATTATTACTTAAGTATTTTATATAACGCATTTATTAATACTATTTATATTTATAAGTATTACGTTTTTATTTATAAGTTTTAGCTAACTAAGTATAGTTAATTAGTTAGTAATAAAGTTTAATCGTTTTAATTATAAAAAAGAAATAAAAGAGTCGTAGTTTTAAAAGAGGGCTATAGAGTTATAAAAAAAGGCTAAGGCTTATTAATAAGCTTAGGCTAAGTTAAATAAGTCGTTATTTAAGTTAGAGCGTCTTCGTTCTTAAAAATAAATAGTATTTAAAAAGAGTTATATTATATTAAAAAAGTTTTTTAAAAATTTCGAAAATACTTTTTTAGCGGCCCGTAAAGTATAAGCTAATAATACTTTTAAGATTATTAATTAGGATACTATAATAATTAAGAATTTTAAATTTAATTTTAATTTTAATACTCCTTAAGAAGTTATTAAGAGTTCTAAAAGTTTATAATAAGTTCTTATATATTTTTTTATATTTATAGTTTTTCTATTTAATAAGGAATTCTTATGTTTTATTTTTAATTTTATAGTTAATAATTTATTTAACTTTATATTTTAATTAGTTTAGTTTAATAATAATATAATTTTTTATATAGTGGTTTTTTTCGGGCTTTATAAGTATAAAAAATCGACCTTAATAGGATTACGCTTTTAAAAGAAATTATATAATACGGTATACTTTTTAACTATATAATACGTATAATATACCTTAAGTACGCGCTTAATAAAATATAGTAATTTCGATATAAAAACTACTATATAATTCGGGATAAGTAAGCTACCCTATAGTAGCGCTAATTAGAAAAGTTAATAATAGAAGTTAGCCGTAATAATTAGCTATAATAATTAACTATAATAGTTAGAGGCGGCCCTTAATTATAGAGGTTTTAAATTTTAATAATAATATAGAGGTTTTTAAAAAAAGGGCTAAATAGGCTAATATCTATTACTCTTCGTATTAGAGCTTATAAAAATTCTTTTTATCCTTATTATTTTTAATATTACTTAAAACTACTCTTTATTTAAACTAAATAAATTTACTAAATAAATTTACTAAATAAACTTATTAATATATAAACTATTACTTGTTAAGAACTTACTCTACTCTTAGTATATAGTTAATAACTAGCGGACTAGGACTCTCTAAAAATACCCCTTAATAAGTCCCCCCCTCTAGGGCTTAATAAATTAGGCCCCCTCGATACCCTAGCTATTATAACTAATATAAATATACTTAAAAAGTAGCGTAGTATTTTTTAATAATATAAAATCTAGCTAAATAATAATATAAATATTATAAATAGCTAAGCTAATATGGATATTAAGATTTAGTATATTAATATTAACTTAAAAATTATATTTTATAAAGCTAGAAATCTTTTTAATATAAGCTATATTATAAATATAAAAGAATATATAAAGGGTCCCTTAATTTTTAATAAAAAGGAGTATATAATATAGGATCTAGCTACTTATATAAGTTAGTACTAAGAGGTCTTATATACGTTAAAGTAAGTATAGCTCGCCCTTTAAACGGCTAGAACTTAGAGGATTATAATAAAAAGTCGGGAGTTTTAATTAGTAATTAGGTATAGAGCGTAATATACCTAGTTTTCCTTAATACGTAGTATATAATACGGCCCCGGCGGATTACTCCGTTAGGGGGATATAATTTTCTTTATATAAGCTTTTTAATATAAGTTTAAATAATAAAAAATAAAAAACGGGATAGTATCGTATTATATTTAGTAATCTTAATTCGTAATTAATTAATGAGATTTTTTTAATAATTTTAAAAGGTCTAAGTTTTTATACTTTAGTTTATTATTTAGTCGTTTTATTTTAATATTATAATAAAAAAAATAAGTACTATTCCCCTTTTTTAAAAATAGTCCTCTAATCCTTAATCTATCCGCATTTTTTTTTATATATTATTATATAAACTTAAAGTTTAAAAAAGCTTATTTATAGATTTTTTTAAGTTTACTTATATTTATTATAGTTTTTACGGCTTATAGTCCTTATTATACCTCTTTATATACTATTAATTAGAATCCGTAATTAAAATAAAACGGAGATTCTTTTATACTTTTATTAATTATATTATTATATACGAACTAAGTTATTAATAAAAGTACTACTTAATTATCCTAGTTATAATTTATATAATAATAAAAGTATATTTTAAAGATTTAGTTAATCCTTTTTATTCATTTATTTATTTATAAATAAATAAATATTAATAGTTTATAATTTATATTAAGTTACGAAATTAGAGATTTTTAAAACTTTAAAATAAATAGCTTATTTTTATCTAAGATAATTTCTTTTAGTAAACCGTAGTTTAAAAATATAATCTTAGTAAATATATATACTAGGTTTTTTATAATACTTAATTCTTTATAAAAAATAAAGTATACGAACTTAGTAAGTCGATCGATTATAACTAAAATACTATTATACTATATTTTAATAAATAGTTCTTTAGATTTTAGTAATTAAATAATAAAGTCCTATATAATTAATTACTATGTTTTTATTAGTAATTATAATAGTTATAGCTCGCTATAAGGCTTATATAAGCTATTCTTATTTTTTTTATAAATTATATAGTTTTTAATTATTTTTATAATTTTAGTATATATAGCGGATTTATCGTAGTACTAATAAATCCGTTTTTAAGTTTTAATAACTTTTTAGTAACTATATACTAATATATTATAAATTTTTATAATAAGTTTAGGGGTTATTTTTTTAATTAAACTAGTATTAATCTTTTTAATTATTATAAAGAGCTTCGTAATTAATATAAAACTACCGTCCTTTTCTTACTTAAGAATTACTTATATTCTTTTAAAAACTACGACTTTATAATCAGGTTTTTTATTAAGAGCGTTTACTCTACTATTCTCTAAACTTTTTTAATAAATAATTTAGAAATTATATTTAGATAAGAATTTGCTCTATTTAACTTATTATTTATTAAAGCTTTTATTTATTATAAAGTTTATAAAGTTCTTATAATTTATATAAACTATAACTTCGTATTTAGTTCTAAATAACTATAGTTTCTATTCTTAAAATACTTTAATAATTATTATTAGTTCTTTATTATAGATTTATTAATTTAATTTTATTTTATAAAATACTTTAGAATAGAAGTAATATAAATAAAGCTTCTCATTCTTAACGACGGCAACGAGGGCATCTCCGATGCCACCGTTATGAGCTACTATTACCTAGAAGGGTAGCTAACTTAGCTAGGTACGCGGGCTTATAAAGTAGTAGCGCCTATTATCGCCGTTAATAATCCGTAGTTATAAACTTTATAAGAGAGAAAGTTAAAAAGTTAGAAAATCTAAAAAAATAGTCTAGCGAAATAGTATAAATATATACTAATACCGTATATTAATACCGTATAAACGACATTGAGAATTGCCCGAGTAGCTAGTAAAAGTAAAAATAAAAAACAAATATATTCGTTACTTCGTTTTTTTTATTAAAGTTAAAAACGCTTCCCTCGCCGTTATTATTACTATTATTATTACTATTTAATTATTTACTTACTTAAATATATTTTATTAAAATACTAAGATACTAATAGCTTATTAACTCTTAGGCCTTCTTTAGAAGAGTTTTGCTATCCGGGCAGTACTGTTTGGCTATCCGGGCAGTAATCCACTTTTTGTACCAATAAGGGCTTACAGCTGCAGAGCTCGGGCCACAACCCCACACCCGTACCCGCTGCACCTGCCCACGGGCCACCCGGCGCAGTTACGTAAGGCAGCCGCAGGCACGTTCGGTCGCAATTGCCCACGGTCGCAATTACCCACGGTTACAATTGCCTATTGAAATAGGTCATTAAGTAAGTAATTAAGCAGGCAATTGCTACTGTAGGTAATTGCGACCGTAGGCAATTCCGACTATACGTACTTCCGGCTACCTTACGTAATTGCGGCGCATATACGCTAGGTAGCCCGTGGGCAGGTACAGCGGGATAAAATATTTAGAGATTAGACGGCGGGCTCTGATTGGTCCAAAAAGTGGATTCCTGCCCGGATAGCCAAACAGTACTGCCCGGATAGCAAAACTCCTTTAAAAACTAGAAGTTCGATCTTATAAATATTATATTAAATAACCCCGGGCTATAGAGAGACTACTTTAATAAATACTATATTAATAATATTAACTTATAAAAAATAAATAGATATATTATAATAAATATTACTCTTATTAACGCCTTTTTAATATAATAAAATAATATAAATAAGCTTAGATTTAATAATATAATTAGGAGCTTAAAAAGAGTATAAGCGAGCGTATTAAATAGGAATATTAATAAAAAGAGGTTATTATTAAATAAAATAAAGGGAGAAAGTAAGGGGTAGTATTTAGTTATTAAAAAGGTAATTAATATATTATAATAGCGGGGTTATTAATATCTTAAGTTTAGTTAGTATTAATAGTTATAGTAGGCTATTATTAATTATAAAGCTTATTACGTAATGAAAACTTAATATTAACTTTAATAAACTAGTTTACTTATAAAGGCGAAGATGGCCCCTAATAAGGCGGACCGGACCCTAAAGGGGAATATATATATATATATAAGTTAAAATTAAAAGTATTAGGGTAAATATCGTAAGGTTAGTATTATTCTTAATAACGGTAATAAGGGTATTTTTAATACTATTATTATAAGCTATTATACTTAGAAAGGTAACTAACTTAGCTAAGTACGTAGTAGGCTTATAAAGTAGTAGCGTCGGGTACTTAATATCGCCGTTAATAATCCGTAGTTATAAACTTTATAAGAGGGAAAGTTAAAGAAAATTAAAAAAAATAGTTTATTAAGATAGTAGGAGTATATATTAATACTATATATTAATACTATATAATTAATATCGAGAATCGCCCGAGTAGCTAGTAAAGGTAGAATATTAAAATAAATAAATTATACTTTTGTAATTACGAAATTCCTAAGATAATGTTAATATTTTTAATCTTTATAATATTATATTATAGTTATTTTTATTAATTATTAATATATATTAAAAGATATACGGTTTTTTAATTAACGTATTTATAATTATAATTAACTCGTTCTTCTTTTATTATTTATAATTAATATAAGTTATCTTTTTATACTTATAATAAATTAAGTTTATTTACTATTTTTAATAAATATAAGTTTTTTATACGCTACTATTAATAATAGCGTTTAGTCCTCGTCCGTAAATATTAAAATTAATTCGTAAGTATATATCGTTATATTATTTAGTTATATATAAGAACTTTTTTTTTATTTTTACTTTTTGTCGTTCTTTTATAATTAGCTTTTTTAGTTTTTTATTATTTATCTTTTTAAATAGTTCTTTTATTTATATCTCTCTTAATATTTCTTCTATACCTTAGTTTTTTTAATATAATAAATTTAGTATTAGTTATATCTATAGTTTTTTTAATTTATATATTCGCTATTAAGGTATTTTATAAGGAAGTTAGGGTCTAGGTTAAATGTTATTTTATTACTATTATCAAAGCTTAGTAATATCTAACTAGGTAATTAGTTTTTTATATAAATATCCCTAATAAGTTTACTATTACGTTTTTATAAATAAAAACGACTATTTTATTTATATACGAGGTACTAAAGATATTTATTATCTAAATATTTTATTTAAAATGATTCCTTATAAAAAGGGTCTTCGGGGTTAAGTAGAGAGTAATTCTTATTTATATAGGGGGTTATTATAACCTTTTTATGTTTTTTTAATTTTATAGAACTAAATAGTTTAGTTATTTTTAAATAAATAAATATATTTATACTATAGTTTATTATTATTCTCTTTAAAGTTAGTATCGTTAATACTAAGTAGTACTTTATAATTAATCTCTATTTAAATACGTCGTTAAGTAACGTTACGAAGTTTATTTAAATTATAAAGTAATTTTATTTTATTAAAATAGAAGGAGCTAGTTTTTATTTTAATATTTTTTTTTTAAAGTTAAAGTTAAATTTTTTTTTATAATTCTAAAGTTAAGAGTTAATTTTTTAATTATTTTAATTTTATCTTTATTTATTTTAGTATTCTACCTTTGCTAGCTACTTAGGCAATTCTTAATGTCGTTTATATAATATTAATATATAGTATTAGTAAATACTTATACTATTTTAATAAATTATTGTTTTTTTTAAATTTCCTTCCTCCTTTTTATCTTTTCCTCTTATAAAGTTCATAACTACGGATTATTAATAATAATATTAAGTACCCGACGCTACTACTTTATAAGCCCGCGTACTTAGCTAAGTTAGTTACCTTTTTAAGTATAGTAACTTATAATAGTAGTATTAGAAATGCCCTCGTTATTATTATTAAATAATATTAACTTTATAATATCTACCTTAATACTTTTAACTTTAACTTATATATATATATATATTCGTTATTTCGTTTTTTTTATTAAAATTAAAAACGCTACTTCCCTTATTATTTATTATTATTATACTATTACTATTACTATTACTATCTAACCGTTTACCTTAAGTATATTTTATTAAAATACCGAAATACTATTAATAACTCGTTAATCCTTAGGGCTTCTTTAATAACTAGAAGTTCGATCCTATAAGTATTATACTAAACGACCCCGAGCTATAAAAAGACCGCTTTAATAAATACTATATTAGTAATATTAATTTATAAAAGATAGATAAATATATTATAATAAGCGTTACTCTTATTAACGCCCTTTTAATATAATAAAATAATATAAATAAGCTTAGACTTAATAATATAATTAATAATTTAAAAAGAGTATAAGCTAGCGTATTAAATAAGAATATTAAAGAAAGGTTATTATTAAATAAGATAAAAAGAGAAAGTAAGGGGTAGTATTTAGTTATTAAGAAGGTAATTAATATATTATAGCGGGGTCGTTAGTATTTTAAGTTTAGTTAATATTAATAGCTATAGCCGGTTATTATTAGTTATAGAGTTTATTATATAATAAAAACTCGATATTAACCCTAATAGACTAGCTTGCCCATAAGGGCAAAGATAGCCCCTAATAAGGCGGACCGGACCCTAAAGGGAATTTTATTTTTATATAAGAGATCTTTAAGCTACTCCTTAATTTTATAAATAAATTTTTTATTACCGTCTATTTTTCGTATTATATAAATAGACTTAGCTACCGAGATAGTGTAAGTATCCACTAATACCGTATATTAATACCGTATAAAAGATATCGAGAATCGCCCGAGCAACTAGTAAAGGCAGAATACTAAAACAAATAAATAGACTTAGTTAGGATTTTTTTAAATTAAATCCTTTTTTAAACTTAGTAAATTATTTTTAATTTATATAATTTTATTATATTATATAAACGAGGCTATTTATAATTTCTTTAGTATTAGGTCCTCTTTTTTTAAATTTAAAGAGCTACTCTTTTATATTAACTAAGTATCTTTATTTAATTCGTTTTTTAAAAAAATAAAATATGTTTTTTATAACGGGGTCTATCTTAGCTTTTTTTTTATATTCTTATAAATTTAAGAGAGCGTAATAATATATTTAATATTTTTTTTTTAAAAAAATATAGGGTTAGTTAGTAAATATTTTTTCTTTTTTTATTATTACTACTAGGGTCCTAACGGATAGTATAATATTATATCCGGATCGTCCCTTATCCTTAGATTATTTTAGGTATTATCTTATTTATTTTTTACTATTTTAGTAACTAAGATAATTATTATTATAATAAGCTATTTATAAGAGTTATTTATAGGGGACTTCTTTATTTGTAATATTAGCCCGTTTTTTAAAAATAAGTTAGTATTAAATATACTTAAGTTATTAATAATTTTTAGTTATATATCTTAGTTTATTATAGTTATAGTATTTAAAATCCTTTTTTTAATAAGGTTATTCTCTTTTAATAATACTAAAATCTATAGGTCCGTTATAGTACCTAGTTATAGTAATTATTAGTTTATACTTACGTTTATTATTAAGTTTAGATCGGTTATTCTAAGCGTTTTATCCTTTTTATTTAAGGCGTCGTTTATAAAGTCGATTATTAATTTTAATAATTATATTAATATAATTATAAAGTTTATTAGGCCGGTCTTATTAAAAAAGGTTATCTTTAACTTTTTTTTAAATTATAATAAAAAGCCGCTATAAGTACTTTATTACCTTAATCGAGCTTAGAAATAATTTATTTAAATTTAAATATATACTTATTAACTAATCCCTTTTATATAAGAGTTATAAGCCTTTATTTAATAATTCGTTTTTTATTAAGGTTCTTAAAAATTTCTTTAAGTCTTTTTTTAAACTTATTATATAGTGGTTTTTTTCCGGCTTTATAAGTATAAAAAATCGACCTTAACGGGATTACGTTTTTAAAAAAAATTATATAATACGGTATATTTTTTAATTATATAATACGTATAATATACCCTAAGTACGCGCTTAACGTAATATAATAATTTTAATACGAAAACCGCTATATAATTTAGGATAAATAAGCTATCTTATAGTAGCGCTAGCTAGAAAGGTTAATAGTAGAGGTTAGCTATAATAATTAGCTATAATAGTTAGCTATAATAGTTAGAAATAGCCCTTAATTATAAAGGTTCTAAACTTTAATAATAATATAGAGGTTTTTAAAAAAAGGGCTAAATAAGCTAATATTTATTATTCTTCGTACTAAAGCTCGTAAAAATTCTTTCTATCTTTATCGCTTTTAATATTACCTAAAGCTACTCTCTATTTAAACTAAATAAATTTATTAAATAAATTTACTAAATAAACTTATTAATATATAAACTACTACCTCGTTAAGAACCTACTCTATTAAAAATACCCCTTAATAAGTCCCCCCCTCTAGGGCTTAATAAATTCTTAAGCCCCCTTAACGCCCTAGTTATTATAGTTAATATAAATATACTTAAAAAGTAGCGTAATACTTTTTAATAATATAGAATCTAACTAAATAATAGTACGAATATTATAAATAACTAGGTTAATATAAACGTTAAGATTTAATATATTAATACTAACTTAGAAATTATATTTTATAAAACTAGAAATCCTTTTAATATAAGCTATTTATTTTTGTATTCTGCCTTTGCTGGCTGCTCGGGCGATTCTCGATGTCGTTTACACGGTATTAATACACAGTATCAGTGTATACTCACACTGTCTCGCTAGACTATTTTTTTAGATTTTCCAACTTTTTAACTTTCCCTCCTGCAAAGTTCACAACCACGGATCATTTAATATAAGCTATATTATAAATATAAGGGAATATATAAGGGGTCCTTTAACTTTTAATAAAAAAGAGTATATAATATAAGATCTAGTTACTTATACGGGCTAGTATTAAGAGGTCTTATATATATTAAAATAAGTATAGTTCGCCCTTTAAATGGGTAATAAAAAGTTAAGAACTATTAATAAAAAGAAAATAACGGTCGAGTTAGTTAACTATTATTTTAATTAGTAATTAAGTATAGAGCGTAATATACCTAGTTTTCTTTAATACGTAATATATAATACGGCCCTAGCGGATTACTCCGTTAAGGGGATTTAAACTTATTATAGTTATTAAAGATTTTTTTAGTATTTTTGTCTTAGATATTATATTCGTTTTTAAAATAGTTTTTTATAAAGGGTTTAAACTAAATAAGAGTATTTTTTTTTTAAAAAATAAAGCTACGTGGTAAACTTTATTAGCTTTAATAATAAAAAAGGTCTTATAATAATATAAATAAGCCCTAGTTTAAGTAAAAAATCTTTAGAAAGTATTTAAGGACTTATTATAAAGTTTTAGTTTAGAGTACTTAGCTCTAAATATTAAGAGAGGTCGGGGTACTATAAGCTAAGTATAAAACTACTTATTTTTATTTTTAAGTTTAAATATTATATTATATAGTTATTA